AAATATTGAAACTGCATCGAAGTCACTAGTCTATGAATCATTTATGTTTTTACAATATATAAATAAGATGAGATAATATAAATATAAATATGTAAGGTAACTTAGATTGTAACAAATCATATGCCACAGAATGTAGTGCTATAACAAAATATATTACTTGAGAAGGTATTTTTTCAAATAAAAAGTTATAGATTAGGGAAAACAGTCTTTCAAAAAATAAAAATGTTTTTGTTTTATTTTAATTTACAAATATGGTAATTAAAGTCTCGATTGAAAATTGAAATTAATTAAAAGGTGTTAGCGAAATACATCGCTCTCGTATGCAACAACAGGTGTCGGAGTATATTTCTTGTTCAGTTTACTACTAAGTGCCGGTATACGTAAGGGATGAATATGCGGCTTAACAGGAAATCTAGTTCCAGCGATATCTATTTCGTAACGAGCTTTAGGTTCCATTATAAAGTCTGTTGTAACAATATTTCTGTTAGTTTGTGCATATCTTGATCTAGGAGAACTGATGAAGCCAAGACAAATATGTTTCTCTGATGTAAAGCCGTATCTATAAATCGATTCATTAATAGTATGAAATAGTTGTCACAAGTATACAGTACTTTTAATTATATTAATTATTTACCCAGCTGATGTAACCGTTCCTACAAATTCATTATTTCGATAAACAGGCTCACCACCCCATGGCCACACGTCTTTATTGATATCTAATTCATTAACAACAAATAATACTAATCGTTTTGACACACCTTGTTCTTTTTGATGTTGTAAAGCAAACTTGCCAATAAAATATTCTTTCTGTTGCAACAAATAAAACAGTTATGCTTACATTCATAAACTTGGGTATATAACATTATTTCTAACGGAATAAATAAATTAAACTGACACATATCTACTTACTTCTAATTTTACACTGTATCCACTTCCAGCTTCATACGGCGTAACAAACGGTGTTAATTCTTCAGCCCAAAACGGGATAAATCTTTCTATACGCATGAGTGCATATTCTGAAGGTATATATAAGCAATAACCAGATTCACCAGTATTTGTGAATGACATTACCATCACATCAGAAGCATATGCTACATTCACATTCTATTAAAATAAAAATCTTGAATATTATATATTATTTATGGCTGATGCAAAAGTTTATAGAAATAAGTGTAAAATGATTACCTTATATGTAAATGGAGAAAGATTAATATCAGAATTGGAGAGTTCTGAAAGTAGTCCCGTTGCTTTAGGTCCTACTAAGTTAATAACAGTATATTTTGAAGTTACATCATGAAGGCCTACTGAGTGATCAGTTGGTAAATGTCTGTATAAAAAGTCAGTCTTATAAAAAATAATTTATTATCGTGAATATTATATAGCTTTTATCATTTTTTACCTAGACATCCATTGGTAGATGCGTGTTTGTTGTGATGTAGGAGAAACCATAAAGTAACTGTTTTCAGTTTGTCTCACTAAAATACAATCGTTTTCGTATCCTCCTTTTTCATTTTGCATCCCTGTATGCACTATACCACCCACTGGTATATTTGCGTCATTAGAACATAATTGCTGAAGGTACTTTACAACTTCCAAACGACTAGACTGTGAATATATAAATGAATGTATAAAAAGTTTTATATACAGCCACATCTTGGACACTTACTTTAATTTTAATCTTTGAAAATGAACTCATATCTATTATTCCCACTCCTTCTTTGCATGCTACAAATTCCTCTTTCATAAAATCGAAAAATTTAGGTTTATAAAAACTTCCTGGTGGCATGACTGGTTTCTTTTGCCCTCCTATTTGCAGCATAAATTATTGTATAATTAGTTAATTATAAATCAAGGATTGAAACGATTCCAGAAATAACTGTTTCAAACTGTTATATAAAGATTCTCTACAAAACAGTTATGCGGTACCTTTATTCTAAATAATTGTTAGGTATAAGGAACTGAATTTTTAACAGATTAACATTAGAATATAACAGAGGACAAAAATTTTAGGTGAATTAATTCTAGAGTATTCCTAGAAAATTAATTTTAGAGAATAACTGTTTTCATTCCCTGGTATAAATAAATGAGAACATAAGTTAAACAATTATTTTCTTACTTGTATAAGTTGAATTAAAATAGAGCGGGCGTTCATAAGCCATTTTTACACCGAAGATTGCACCTCTCTCTTCAAGAACAGAATATAAAGGTGAACAACGCAGTTTTCGAGCATATTTGTACTCGCATTGATGAGGGTATAAAATTGCATAATTTCTACTAACAATTTCCTTCGTTCTTTGTTGTAAGTATCGTTTACTGCTATGCAAATCTAGAAATCTTTGTACACTAAAAGGAAGTAATTCCTGTGTGGATTCACCATTTATTAGACACTCAGCGACTTCTTTGCCTATTCCTCCTGCTCCTGAAAACATATAATTTGAATAATAAACGAGATTAAAAAATTTCAAATGTTTTACCTTGCAATGAGTTTCCATTCATGCCAACAGCAACAAAGTAATTTGTTACTTCTGGGCTTTCTCCTAATATCCATCTACCATCTGGTGTGAAATTATCTGGACAATTGTAAATATTTGGTTTTATATTCTTTAAAAATGGTAATCTATGTACTACTTTATCCCATAAAGGATTCCAATGTAAAGGATCAACTGTTAGATGATTTTTCCAGTTTTGTGTAGGAACAGTGCCATTTTCAAATGCAGGCTTTGATTCTGGTTCAAACCAGCCAATTAATAAACCTCCTATAGATGTATAGATTTATAAATTTGTCATGTAGTGTAAATAAATCAAATAAGATGTATTAATAAACTAACCACCTTGCCATTCCCTTATGTATGAGTATGAATCATAATCTCGTATACATGGTAATGCTGTATTTGTATTATGTGGAAAAGGAAAAGCAATTGCATAATAATGTTCTGCAGGATATGCTGGGATTCTAACTGGTGGACTGCATCGTAATCCTAATTCCCTTGCCCACTATATTTCAAATGTAAATAAAAGTTTGTATTGGAAATAATGTTAAAACTGTATTACCTTTTTAAAATAATGAAGAAAATATGTAACAAATTTAAAAAATGAGATTAAAGTTGGTATTACCATTCCTGCACAATTTACAAAGTATTCACAGGAAACTACTCCATGATCAGTTTTTACACTCTTCACGGCTCCATTTTCAGTGTGTACTTCTTCTATACAGCAATTTTCAATGTACTTTGCTCCTCCTATTTTTGCTAATTTAGCTAAGGCATCACAAATTGCACTGGAATTGGCTACTGCATCTTCAGGAACCCAAACTGCACCTTCAATATCTTCAATATGCAGATATGGATATAGTCTTTTTAATTGTTCCCTTCCTAAAACCTGATGCATTTGTAATTCATTAAAAATTCCTTTCATATTTCAATTATAACATTTAATTAATAAATCTTACTTCACAGTGTAAACCTGTTGGTACATTATAAGCCATTCTTCTTTTTAAAGCTATCATTCTATCTTTGGTTTGAGCTAAGTATATGCTACCACATTGCTTTAGACCTATGTCATATCCCATTTCTTGCAGTTGCTGGTATAACTTAATGCTATAAGAGATTAAGTTCCTATGTGATATTGGTTTGAAGAGGCCAAGTGTGCCAGAGCCAAAATGAGAGGTGCCACTTCCAATTCTGTTGTTGTTGTTTTTTAAATAAAAATTAATAAATCAAAAAAATTGATAACATTATTACAAACAATAAAAATTTATCATTCGTTGTTTTGTTGTCTATTAGTTATTCTATTTTATCTTAATAAATCGTATACCTATTTTGTTCCAAAACGAGTACATCGTTCCAGCCCTTAACAATAAGATGATAAGCAACCGAATTCGCAACTGTTCCTGCACCCGCAATAACAATTTGCGATTGGGAGGGTAACATTGTTGTGTGGAATGGAGAGTCATGATAAAATTTTCTGCAGTTTTTACTCTTGTTAATTTGTTTAGATTTAAACACTCCATTTTTGTAGGTTATATCACCTGAATAATTTCTATGAGCTTTTAAAATTTGTTTTTCGAAGATTGTAATATAAACACATTTCGAACTCGCGTATTTCAGCATTAAATTATGTAGAAAATATTAATTGCGTCGTTTGCGCACTCAACATGAAAACTCCAAGTTCCAAAATATCCGAACTATTAGAGCAGGTGTTATATCATTAAAGATTGCAGTAACATATAAAACGTATATCGGCTCATAATAAAACTTTTATTAAAACATGAATTTACATTTCAAAATAAAATAAGTTGAGCCAAACACTGATGTAATAATTCTATGAATTATAATTTTAAGGTATAATTATTTAGGATATGATGCAGGATTTGTCTTTTACATAAATTTTTCTTTAGTTGTCTGAGCTGAAAATAATTATAACATTGATACACGAAGAATGTTTTAATTAAAAATATCATTGAATGAAGTATTATACACATTTAAATTTTCAATAAAAAAACACGCGCTAAATCAATATCTATCGATAAATCGAAACGTTTAAACTTCGATAGATATCATAATTCTCGAACCATCTCGATAAAGTGTTCGTTCAAAATGGAAATGGCGTTAGATCTTCGGCTTTTATTAACGTGATTTTTATTGTAAATTTAAGTGTTCTCCGTTGTTATATGTGCGCCTTTGTTAATTTTTTTTTCATTAGGGACTATTATTAACAGAAAAATTGTTCATAATGTGGTTCGTACTAGTCACAGCTTGCATCAAAATAATAGGCATTTTTATTTTCATCGTGTACTGCGTTGTTGCTTTCCTCATGGTTATGGTATGAATTCTTTATATTCACTATAATTGAAAATACTTTATGTTACTAATAATGTTATTTGTGATAAAGTATAACGATCGAATGGAAGAATTGCGAAAATGTGTAAGTTTATTAATGTAATTTTCTTTCTGAACGTTTCGAAACTTTGTACATCCTATTTCAATAACATAGACGATATCCCTTAGGTTGTACTTCAAGACACAAGCCTGAAAACAGAGTTTCCGATCGAAGTCAGTTAAACGTCTTTTTTTTTTCCTTTAATTAGAACTTATTTCGAGAAATTTTTCTTAATATATTTTATCAGTGATATTTGTCAATTTTTCGTTACGTTTAGCTTCGATTTTTATTAATATTCGTAATCGATTATTCCAGTCTCACGATAGTATAGATAATAAATTGGAAGTGCTAACGGAAAAGCTTACTCAAAAAGAGCGCGTGGTGAGAGTTAATTTTTCATATGTTTGATTAAATTTGATAAAAGAAAGTTTGAAGGATAATTCATTTCGTGGTACATATGTACAGTTACAACGATCGCAGTGTGAAATAAAAAATGCAGAAAAGGTTTTGAATGATCTAGAGAATAAAACATCCTCTTGTCGAGATCGATATCGTTCGTTGATGGTCGAATTGAAAAAGGACATTCGAAAAACCGAGGAAGAGGTTAGAATAAATACGTAATTGTCCAATAAATTAGATCTTTTAAAATTTTTTTTAATTTTATGTAATTGCGATTATACATTATAGGTGAAAACGTTGCAAACTCAAATTTCGAATTTGTCGAATCGTCGAGAAGCCCTTAGAAGCGAAGTATTAAAGGTAATGGCTTCAGTTTTATTCAAATTAACAATGTACAAACATACGTCGTTAATGAAACTGGCAATCGATCAAATAATTGCAGCAACAAGAGGATTATCAAAAGATGCTGAGTAGCTTTTCCACGGAATTAGAAAATAAGAAATCCTTATTTTGTAGGTTAATAAAACGCGACATTTTTTCATTATATTTGAAATTGATTTTTTTTTTTTCTCACCATACTAATCAGATTTGTTGATGTTTTGTAGCCTCAGGTAACGAGAAATCAAGACACCCTCGCGTGAGTTGTCTTATTTTACGACCAAAGATCACATTATCCTCTCGTATGTATAATAATTATTGTTAATTAAATATCCGCAGTATTGCTTTTCGTATTAAACAGAACGTTAGAGCAAGTACCTACGAGGGGACTACTAAACGTTGCTTTATCGAGGGTCGAGGTAATATCGGATAAGCGAAGGAAGCGTTTTGGTCGAATTGTAATTTTTTAATTAATATTCACAATATGTACAATCGAATAAATGATCGACATGAAAGCTTTTTTCACGTTCAATCGTATGATAGAAATTTGTATCGAAAAAAGAAAATATTTAATTCGAGTGACGAATGGAAATGCAGCGATTTTATTAATTAATACGTTCATTAACCTATGATTCAAGTCGTCAAAATGAAATTCCACAAGTAAGAAGGGGAAAGAACTTTACAAGACATAAGAGAATAAAGGAAGGACTAAATACAGTAAAATACGCATACGTGTTAAATTCGGAAGAAAAATCGAAGAAACACTATAGAGGGATTTACTCTTAAAACAGGCCACCTTAACCTCCTCGTTGTTCGAAGACAGAAAGAAATATTTCGATTGGCTCGTTTATTAAAATAAAAATATGTTCACTGTGTGATTTTCCGATAGAGAAGCCTCGCGCGCCTTTTACTCGAAAATATTTCTATTCGTCTCTGGATTGAAAGGAGTTACACGTGTTATCCATTTTAAGTGCCTCACCCTTCGTAACCATCGAATTACGCGTACACACGAATGCACCAAAACGAATAGTGCATGGAGATGTTTTAAGGCACTTGCTTCTTTTCCGATGCGTAACGTGGTGGTTCTCCAATAAACGGGGTATTCCTCCCCCCCTGTAATTGTAGTTCTTCGGAAAATTGTACGCCTGTCTGTTGATGCATGCGAGAACACCGATCGCTGCATTGAACATAAGTGGAGATGGTGTTTTTTCGATCGAAAGGAACGCGCTATAAAATGTTCGTTGAACTTGTTAAGTGCACGTGAAAGGAACCTCCTTGCTGCTCTATTTTCGATATCAAACTACTAGCCGACATGCTCTTCGCGAATGGCGCAACAAGTAACGATGGACACATCTTTCGTTCTTCATCTATTGGATACCAAAAGAATGCATCCAAGACGAACAATTTATCGGCTACGTGCTTCCATTACTTATACATCATAAGTTTCGTTTGAACCGATTGCGAAAACTTTTCTATCGTTCTCCTGAAAATGATTATCTGTAGAAATCAAATAATTTTCTCTTCTTCGAACTTGTAGTTTCGATAGATCAGGATTACTTGCTTTTTCCTTTATAATTCTGTGTGATGCGAGGGGAATTTTTTCAGAACCGCATGGTAGAGATTGTAAAAGGCGTAGAAACTGACGCTTAGAATGACGATCAGGGCCGAGCCGAATATCCAGGACAGAAAATGACCGTCTATGATATCCGAGGTCTCCTTCCTTTTTCTCGCGCTTATCTCGCCGAGTGTGGTACCTCTTCGCTCCTCCATCAGCCTTTTCATGTTTGCTAATTTTTCGCGCAGCTCGTCTACCGATTCAGCGATATCCTCGACCGAGTCGTCTCCAGATAGATCTAAAACTTGGACGAATAGAGCGTAACTCGGGAAATAGAGACGTTGAAATTTATTATTAATTAAACGAACAACTCCAAAACATTGCCAAGAAAACTTTTCGTTTTGGAGATTCTGTGTTTGCGATTGTTACTCGAAAAGAAATTAACTTTATATGTTATGATATATGGAACAGCGTAGCACTGAGAAGATATAAGTTTATGGTACGATGTGTACAGTTTTCCTTGGAGAAAAATGTACAAAGATTGAAAAATTTAGTCGAAAGATACAAGTAGCAGTTTATCGAAGGATATTACGAACTGAAGCTAGGACTACTTACCCGTAGCTCCTGGTGTGCAAGTATGCGTCACTGTTTCCATGATGCTCACCTCTGTCTCTCTTGACTGTATTATTTGGTCCAGCATCTGACACGGTGGTCGGTATTGATCATTCAGCATCCAGCTCTGTAGCGCAGTCTCTATCTTCCGGGAAGTTAAGCCTCCTCGAATTTTTCATTTTTTTTCTTTCTCTTTTTTTGCGTCAAATACAGATCAATTCTATTTTCGAGTTTGGGTAATAGTTGTTTCTACAGTTTTCAAAGTTAGACAAAAGCTGAATTTAAGAATATTAAGCTCTTTTTAATAACGATATTATTCTTCGTTCGTTATAAGGAAGGAAAATATGAAAACTATTCGAACGTTCTTTTTATTTCAACGTTACATTTACGGAGTCTGATTTAAATTAATACCTGAAGGTCGTCTCGTCTTACATTGTTGGACTGAGTAATAATTAAACAATTGGAATAATCTGAATGACATCGTATAATTTAATATAAATTATACCAATCGATTCAGTTTACAAAAGCTGTTTAAATATCCCGCGCATTTCCACAGGAACTTTTCGTTACAAACGCGTCCTAAGTGATCATCGATCCTGTCGCAACACTGTGAACGCGGCCAAAGGTATTCGTCGGACGTTCGGGTGGAGTCGGGCGCACCTTCGGGGACGGCGGCTGACGTCACAGCGCAAGATGGCCGCCGGTATCGGAAATGGAGTAGCGTAGAGGCTGGGCGGTAGGAACGAACCGTAGGTGTGTCAGTACTCGGCTTCCTCGTGATAATGTCATCGAAATGCCGATCATTGTACGCTGACTCGCGCCTTGCGCACCACTCTAACGTTAGATCGGGATCGTTCCGTCGGCCGAGTCTCGGATGGTGATGATTAATCGCGAAATAGTTAGCGAGGTGAATTAAGCCCGGTGCCCCGAGACTCCCCTTGATATATCACTTCCCTGGGACAAGGTTTCTTCTATCGTAATACACCAGTGATACAGAAGTAAGGTTAGATACGGTGAAACTGTGTCTGAATGAGCTCGAGGCGGAAAGTAAACGGTGACCTGACCAGTGATCGTTCCCGTGTACCGTTCGACGATATTTCACGGATGTCAGACTCGTTCGCCCGGCTCTGGGAGAGAGTCGAGTGTGCACCGTGGGTGTCAACTTCGTGTCGAGCTGTTCTAATTGAAAATCAGTCCACGGCTCTGGAACGAGGCGGGATGGAAAGGAAAGGGTACGCGTGCACGATAGACGCATAAGGGATCGAGGTGTGCACGACGTGAACTGTCGTGTCCGTGTGGATCCTTTTACGCGATCTGTCAAAACTGACTCGTGGGCGAATCCTATCTCGTCGCGGCGTATCGATCTATCTAGAATCTTTAACCGATCGCGTGTGTCGGTCCCTGAGTTTCTTCCTTCTCTGTATCGTGTATGCTAATCGATCGATCTTTTCGAAGGGAAATTCTCGTCGGTTGCGTGCGTGTATGCGTATGCGTGTGTACCCTACGACCGCACATCGATTGATCCCTTTCCGTAAACAATATTCAGCAAGAAGAATGTGTCGTCCGACGGTGAAAACGAGATGTGTGATTCTATCACGGTGAGAGTACCCGTGGCCGGCCGAGTGATGTTGAACTTGGAACTGTCCAATGATTCTTTGAGCGATGATTCCGCCGGTAGGTACTAGTTAACCAACAAAAAAAAAAAAGACGCAAAAAGAAAAAAGGACAAAAACGCGTGTGAAGGAGCACGAGGAAAGGAGGTGTGGTAGCATAGTGTTGTCTCTTTCGGTGGAAACGTTTCAACATTCAAGAAAGAAACATAACCGGGATTATTCCGGGGCGCGTGGTGTGGATGTCGTTGGACAGAGGAAGAAAGAGGAATAGGAACGAAGCGTGTGAGACAAAGGGGACAGAGGAAACACGAGGGAATCGATTAAAGAAAATGTCTAATTGAAAAATTCGTGGAAGAATTATAAGAAAAGGTACATATATATATACATACACATATATATACATAGATAGATATATTATATATCGGAAGCGGAAGGTGGCTTCTCTTTGTCAGTGGCGCGCACGCGAGTGTCCACATATCCGCCGCGTGTGGCCGCGCGCTTATGTCCGCCGTTTTACATTTGCGTGTTATTGAAGTGGAGTTTGTGTGCCGGAGGGTGAAGGGTAGTAGTTAGGATACGCAAAATGTGGAATATGATGTGCGACGTGATGCCGACTATCGCGGAGGACAGCATTAGCCAGCGAAGTTCGCAATACTCTGGCGAGGATGCGAACTTCGAGCAGCTGATGGTTTCGATGCTAGACGAGAGGGACAAATTGATGGATTCGTTGCGCGAGAGTCAGGAACGACTGCAGGAAACGGAGGCACGTCTGCAGGAGATAGAAAAGGAACGGGACTCGCTGAATCGCCAACTGAACACCAATATCCCTCAGGTATGTTTTCATTCGTCTTTCTTTTCTTTTTTTCTTCTTCTTCTAACGTTTGATTTTATATTCGTCTTATTCACCGTTTCTTCGAATGATCGATTGTTGGGTATACGTTATATTCAACGTTCGCCAAGTGACGACTTATTTTATTTCGTCGCGTATACAGGGTGTGCCAGAATAAACGATTGAAGCGTGCCAATCAGTTGTGTGAGTGGAATGAGGAAGATAGCGGTATGTTAGAGTGTACAGTGTTTTCTTTCAAACGAAGAAATTCCAAGGATAAGTATGGAAAATAAATGATTTTCTTCTTTCACCTTGTTTTCGTTCAAGGTAGTATTTTCTTTTTTTTTTTCATCAGACTTGGCGATATAACAGTCCCGCTGGATTTCGTAGTATTTTAGAAGATCGTCGACCTACACATCCTCGAGGCTGCGTGTTTGCTTTCTCGTGCAATGCAAAAAGTGTCTCGCTGTTTTCAAGCGCAGGTCGCGTCCATTGTAATAGGATTTATTGTACAGAATAGGATTGTCTCGAAAATCTTATTTTCCAAGTGGAAGAGAACGGTATTTCTCATCGAACAATTTTTAATTTATATATAATTCAATCAAGATAATTTCTAATACTCTCAAACGACGTACCCTCTTACCGTTACAATTATATCTTCTATCACGTTGTTCTTCAAATTTCTCAATCCCAATTGGATCTGTGCGCAAACATTTACCGCCTGTTCCTACTTCTCGTCCTATTGCTCAACCTAGATAAAGAGGAATTTAACGATGCCATAAAAGAAGACAAATAGTAATTTGCACGTGGATGGGATACATGTAATAACACAGTCTAAACTATTTCTTTGCCAATATTCCAAAACTATATCAACGAACACGGTTCACGCCTATCGTCGTATTAATTGAATTGTTCACTTTTAGCAAGTAACATTGAAGAGGAGAGAGAGAGAGAGAGAGAGAGAGTGAGAGACCGTCTGAAAAGTTAGAAACTGGTTGTTCGGTTAAAGCCGGTTCAAACGAAGCTGGATCAGCACGTGTTAACTTGCTCGATTAACAGGGAGGCATACACACAGATCAATATTTGCCTGACGATAAAGACCCAGCCGATTTCTTTTTATCGTTGAAAGTTGGCTAGAAAAAGTTGCTCGCTCGGCTCCGCACAGCTTGTCCATCTTCAAACAAATCATTAACAAAGAAAACGATTACGAATATGTTTCTACACGAGCTACATCTATAACGATAATGTTGGTAATACGTGAAGGGAAACTGTGTGTACCTGGCCTAGAGTGGCACTGGTGTTTTTCTAATTGCACGATATGTGGCCGACTATGGGTCTGTAATTGCCGAAGCGTTTACGTAATGATTACGGTAGAAACGATTTAACCGACACGTTATCTTCGCAGTGTCCCACTTTTCCAGAGAGAAGAGATATACAACGAGCGAGCAGCGGCGCGCGATCAAGCTCTCCTGCAAACAGAGCTTTGTTTTATTATCACCACTACGTATGCACAGCGAACGCGTACGATTGTTTAGATTGTCTTGTTAGAAATGAGTCTTTTACTCTCTGGGACGAGAAACTGGCAGAATTTTCGCAGAGTCACACGGACAGAGAGTCAGAATTCTAGACGCTTTAACGGCTAGAAGACTCCACGTATACATTTTTCTGCCGCGTTCTTTCGTTGTAGAAAATACCTTTGGTTAATTGTACAGCGTAGAAGGATGATCGGATAGGAAGATAAGTTTCTTCAGGAATGATTCCACGTATAAGCAACAAGTCCTCGATATCAGATAGTATCGGTTGAATCGTATGAATCAGCTGGCTAGCGTTCCTCGCTGTGCCTTGCAACCGTTGCTGCTTCTTTTTCCCACAGGAGAGTGACTCTCAGTTATTGCGCTTAATTACACATAACACTCGTCGTCCGTGAAGCCACTGGGTTGCTTGTGTGTGTGCGTATATCGGTGGTGCCACGATGGAAAGAGCCTACGTTGAATTAAAACCGGCTGAAATCGAATTAAATCTACAGAGAGCCTGTAATTTCTCTTCGTATGGAGTGATAAAAACACCGTTTTACCAGAAGCGACAGATCGTTTATCTGCGGATCTTCCAAATGTAACAGCCTCGACATTTCTGTCTGAATTTTCAAACACTTCACATGCGTGTCCGGTGGGGAAAGAAAGAGTTTCGACGTTGGGCAAGAACGACGCATCGAGCGCGGACACATGAAAGCAAGAACGTGGTGCTTATGCAAAGGAAAAGAAGAAGAAGAAAAAAGAAGAAAATGAGCCGGTCGTTTGTGTGTAAAAGGCCAACGCGCGGGAATTTCACGTTTCTTGGAAAGCGATTAAGGACGCAACGCTATGTTATGCGCCTACTGATTGCAATACTTATTTCCTTGACCGGCGTACGTAGTACAAAAACCGCTTATTCCTCTCTACGCGCAGAGCTCGAAGGGAAGGTCGCGAAAGAGGAGGAGGAGAAGCTTGGAATAATTAATAGAAGAGTCTGATATCGTGAACGTGATCAAAATACCACGACATTTCTACGAATCGTAACGTTACTTTGCTTATTTCTTCAGCGATTTACGCATCGATCGATATCTCGTTTCTTTTGGCAGTCGTTCTTACGTACGATTGTTTTTTTAATTGGTACATTGGTTATTGTAGATGGAATGGAGGAAATTGTCGACGAGTTTTTTCCGTTGTAAAGCCTCGGGGAGAGGATGATCTTGGAACGGTCGGAGGCGAAACACGACGCACACAGTCTGGAGGAGCAATATTATCTACTTTGTGGTCCAATTCCTAGCGATATGTGCACATAACGGTAAACCGCCGGAAATGCACATAGATCTCGATGCAAACCCGTAGGTGTGGTGTACATAGGTGGCTGGTATCGCCGTGTCTTATTCACCTATTTCTCCGTGAAATCTTCTCCCCATATGCGCCAGGAATGAATTTATGCATAAAAGAATCCATAAGCTGTGTGCGCTGGCTTTTCTTTAAATTGACAATGCAACGAAACGGGGGGAATCTCGAATAGATCACCGGGATGGTACAGCAGGGGTGGCTTATCTGTTCTTGTTCTAAAAACCGTTGCTTCTGATTGATCGGAAATATCGAGAAGTTTGTAAATTTTCCAGGACATTCATCCAGGATGGAAGAGAAGAGAAAAAATTACTTGGCAATTATTTATCCGAGCTTTTTCTCTGCGGATGAAACGTGACAATCTTCTGTCACGGTTTGGCAAGATCCAATGAAAATCTATAAACCGTATTGGCTTATTGTATTGTCTTATCTTGCCAGCAGCAGCGTTGAAAATACAACATCGAATTTGTCATCTTGAATTTAGGCGTTTGTACCATTTTGCATCTCACAGTGCAGACTGCGTGGAGAATTTTTGGTAGGAATTGCTTCCAAGTTAATTCTATAGAGAATTTGTGTCGCGATAGGGAAAATGCAAGTCTCCTGTGCGATAAAACGTATATAAAAATTCGTTATCGCGAATCATTCCTCTCTGGCGTATCTTGTTAGACGCTCATCGAGGCGATAACGTTGCTGGTCGAACGCTAAACACGTGGCGCACACAGAAATTCTACACCGATTCATGTAAATTATGCGTTTTCTAGCGCAGCGACAGTTTATTTCGTCGATTTCACTTGGAGATAACAATTCTTTCTTACCGTTAGCCAGAAACGCTCAGCACACTGTTGACTCTTGATATCGTCCAAATTATCGTCTAAAGTGATTGTTCACGAGAAGACTGACTCATTTGGTTTACTCGTTACACCCAAAGACACTGTACATACTTAATTATATTTTCTACAGATTCAGTCACTGGTTGCCCAAGTACAGAGTTCTCTTTCCCCAAGTCTCCGTGAGTCTCTCCCGGATAATTAACAATTCCTCTCGTCGAAGAAGTATTATTTCCCGAAAGTTTGTCTTTCTCTTTTTCCTTTTCAATCGACTTGAAAGCGATCGTAAGGTACGGAGGGCCAAAGGGAGCGCACTTAGTACATGTAGAGGGAAGAGAACACAATGTGGAGCATTGATATATCCGTGGAATAAGGGAGAGAAACCGGCGGCCATATCGATCCATCCGTCGCCCGATTGGCTTTTATATACGCGCGGGCGTGTTATACACAGGGTGTCTCTAATAAGTGGCACAATTGGAAACCATGTGATTGCACGCTGATAAATAAGCGGAAGCCGTAACGCACGATACTTCAGTAAGACGGAATAATTTTCCGAGCAACTTAATTTCTTCGCTTCTCAAGAAAACTAGCTGTATCATTTTCAAACTGCTTCTTTCTTTATCGTCGGAAATCTCAATTTCAGATTCGAGGCTCTTCTCCAGAAAAGAAGAAAGAGGAAAATTTCTCTAACCACAAAGGGAATAAAGAGCGCAGGAGTTCCCCCGTTTGAATTTATGGCGATCGTATTATATTTGCATGCGCCACTTCGGGATTGTCGTCCCTCGGATGATTCCCTTCGCCTTTTTTTTTCTCTTCTTCTTCTCTCTTTTTTTCGTTCATTCTCTCTCGCGGCGCAGGATTTCGCTTCCTGCGCGACCTAGTGGCACGTATTCCGTAGACAAAGGGTTAAAAATGAAACGGGACCGGATAATAAATGCGCGGCCGGTGGTAGAAACGGGTCGAGGAACCCCGCGCTTCTTCGTCAGATTGTTGCGCTATAGTTTCATTAACTGGTCCTCTGATTTGCGAATAAAATAAACCGGCGAAGGGGAATAGAACGAAGCGGCGTGTTCGATCACGGGTGAACGACGTTAAATGCATTTCGAGCGCGTATCAAAGAGCGAGAGAGAGAGAGAGAGAGAGTAATGGGGTTAGTGGTGATCATAATGAAATCTCGTAACTATGGGTCGTAGTTCAGCGAGAGGAGGCCTCTCTCAGGGCTTGTAATTAATTGCGATTAGCAATGAAACAGCGAAACGTCGCCCAGTGAATTAACGATGCTGCCGGTGCAAAACCGGCGGCCACGGATTAA